GACCATAGCGCAAAACCAGATCCCAACTAGCCTTCACCCGCTATAAATCTGCCTTCCACACCTACACCTCCTCCCTCCACGCTGCCAAACAAGCCTACTTTCTGACCCTCATCAAGACCCTCTCCTCCAATCCTCACCGGCTCTTCTCTACTGTCAACTCTCTATTCTCTCCGCCCCCACCTCCACCCAGCACCTCACTCACCGCCCACGAGATTGCCAATCACTTCAAAAACAAGATTGACACAATTCGCAGGGACATTGCCGCTACTCAGACTCCCACCCCACCTATCACCTCTCACATGGTACCCCCCTCAACACCCCCTCTCCCTTGGCCTCGCCACGGTCCAGACCTCCACCCCACCTAACATCCCTCAACACTCCACTCCTTCTACCTTACTACCACTGAGGAGGTCACTAAGGTCTTCTCTGAAACCCGCCTCACCACCTGCCTCCTCCACCCTGTCCCCTCACAACTCCTACGATCTCCCTCCTCTTCCATCCTATGCTCAGTCACCCACATATTTAATCTCTCCCTCTCTTCTGGCGCATTCCCCTCCCCTCTGAAGCACGCGCACATCACTCCCATGCTTAAAAAGCCCTCCCTGGACCCCACCGACCTGAACAACCTTAGACCCATCTCCCTGCTGCCATTTACATCCAAACTCCTTGAGCGCTTAGTCTATAATTGCCTAAGCTCTCACCTCAATGACAACAACCTCCTCAACCCCCTACAGTCTGGCTTCCATCCCCTACACTCCACCGAAACAGCCTTACTCAAACTCACCAACGACCTGCTAACCGCCAAAGCTAACGGCCACTACTCAGTGCTCCTACTCCTCGACCTCTCCGCAACTTTTGACACAGTCAACCACCCCCTCCTCCTCAAAAAACTACACTCCCTTGGCCTCAGAGACTCCGCTCTCTCCTGGCTATCGTCCTACCTATCACAACACTCCTTCAGCGTTACCTATAACGCTGCAACCTCCCCCTCACTCCCCCTCTCTGTTGGGGTCCCTCAAGGCTCTGTCTTTGGGCCCCTTCTCCATCTACACCTCCTCCCTTGGCCAACTCATACACTCTCACGGCTTCAACTACCACCTCTATGCCGACGACACACAAATCTATCTCTCGACCTCTCTAGAGCGCCAAGTTCGCACATCGCTGAGCAAAGTTGCAAAATCGTTTTCAGTGTCTGATGAGGAATTTCCCCCACGAATCATTATCACTCAATTCTGCAAGTGGTTCTGATTTACTATCGCTGTTCTCTAGCCGGTCTAAAACCGCGTCTGACCTAAAGGGACGCTTTTTGGACGCCATGGTCTCAGTTTCCAGGCAGAAAGAACAGTAAAAATGCAGGCAGGGCGCCGGACAAAGCACTCGGGACAAAATGTATGTGAAATGGTTTGATACAGGAATGTTATACTATGTGATTTTAGTGTATTTAGTGAATGTCACTTTTAAAATGTTCAAATTTTCTGCCAGTTCCATCCCCCGTACGTCCCGACATCGCAGGGAACAGAACCCGGAAGACAGATGCCGGCATCGGCCGGAGGACATTGCCGGGGACACTGCAGGAGGGACATCGTGAGAGCGAAGGACAAGGTAAGAGAAGAACAGATCCCGGAGCAGCTCCGCATGGTAAGCTCGAGTGTAGCTGGGGGGGTTACCGCTTGTGGTACTGAAACTTAACCCCGAGCTACACTCGGGAATACCGCCGGGGGGTAAATAAAAGACAGTTGTTTGTCATGATCAGTCATATTTTCACTATCAATGCCAACATCTCATGGTTTCTGCCAGGGGATGCAAACATTTGAGCACAACTGTATGCTAATTTTCTATAAGATTTTAGTGATTGTGTTTACAGCTACTTCATGTAATGTTAGGAAATGAATGGGGGAGGGGCTGTTGTGTAATATCCATCCCTTTTAAAAAGGGAAAGTTCCTGTTAATTGATAACGGCCAGCAACCCTGACAAATTCAGCAATTGCAGGTTGGAAAAACTTCACCTTAAAATTGAAAAATTGGATTACCTTGAGAAGGGGATTTTCTTCCTTTTAAATATCGTAAAGTCGGCTGGGAAGAAAGTTAAACTCGGTCCTTATCGCCGGTATTAAATCTTCCCAGTTCTATGACGGGATTAATCCTATTCCACAGAGAAGACTATTTCCCTTCGTATGCTGAGCTCCGCGATAACCTCTCCCGATCGGGGGCTCGGCGTGCGCTTATCAAGGTATCAGCTGGCCATAGATAGGAATTTGCCGGCTTCGTCTTTGTGCGGCTAAATCGGGGCAGAGGGCGCTCAGGAGGGTCACCAACAACCTGCAGATCCCAGCATTTCCCCATCACAGGAAGCAAACACTTCATATAAATGTTTATAATATCTCTGTTTTCCTCTTATTTACTATATATATATATATATATATATATATACTGCTCAAAAAATGAAAGGAACACTTTGAAAACCCATCAGATCTCCATGGGGACGAAATCTCCTGCTGGATCTCTATACTGATCTGGACGGGGTAATGTGTTCAAAACGTAAGGACGCCCCATCGTTTGATGGAAATGAAAATTATCGACCTACAGAGGACTGAATTCAAAGACACCCCGAAAATCAAAGTGAAGAAATGATGCAGCAGGCGAGTCCATTTTGCTGAAATGTCAGAATGGTCCTCAGTAGTCTGTGTGGCCCCCACCTGCTTGTATGCATGCCTGACAACGTCGGGGGAGGCTCCTAATGAGACCACAGATGGTGTCCTGGGGATTTCCTCCCAGATCTGGATCAGGGCATCACTGAGCTCCTGGACAGTCTGATGTGCAACCTGGCGGCGTCAGATGGAACGAAACATAACATACCAGAGGTGTTCTATTGGAGATAGGTCAGGAGAGCGTGGGGGCCATTCAATGGTATCAATTCTTTCATCCTCCAGGAAATGCCTGCATACTCTCCCCACATGAGGCCAGGTATTGTCGTGCACCAGGAGGAACCCAGGACCCCCTGCACCCAGAGGAACCCAGGACCCACTGCACCAGGAGGAACTCAGGACCCCCCTGCACCAGGAGGAACTCAGGACCCTCTGCACCCAGAGGAATTCAGGACCCCCTGCACCCGGAGGAACCCAGGACCCACTGCACCAGGAGGAACCCAGGACCCACTGCACCAGCGAAGGTCTGACAATGGGTCCAAAGATTTCATCCCGATACCTAATGGCAGTCAGGGTGCAATTGTCTAGCCTGTAGAGGTCTGTGCGTCCCTCCATGGATATGCCTCCCCAGACCATCCCTGACCCACCACCAAATCGGTCATGCTGAACCATGTTACAGGCAGCAGAATGTTCTCCACGGCTTCTCCAGACCCTTTCACGTCTGTCATGTTCAGGGTGAACTTGCTCTCATCTGTGAAAAGTACAGGGGGCGCCAGTGGTGGACCTGCCAATTCTGGTGTTCAATGGCAAATGCCAATCCAGCTCTATGGTGCCGGGCAGTGAGCACAGGGCCCACTAGAGGACGTCGGGCCCTCAGGCCACCCTTATGAAGTCTGTTTCTGATTGTTTGGTCAGAGACATTCACACCAGTGGCCTGCTGGAGGTCATTTTGTAGGGCTCTGGCAGGGCTCATCCTGTTCCTTCTTCCACAAAGGAGCAGATACCGGTCCTGCTGATGGGTTAAGGACCTTCTACGGCCCTGTCCAGCTCTCCTAGAGAAACTGCCTGTCTCCTGGAATCTCCTCCATGCTCCTGAGACTGTGCTGGGAGACACAGCAAACCTTCTGGCAATGGTACGTATTGATGTGCCTTCCTTGAGGAGTTGGACTGCCTGTACAACCTCTGTAGGGTCCAGGTATGGCCTCATGCTACTAGTAGTGACACTGACCCTAGCCAAATGCAAAACTAGTAAAAAACAGTCAGAAAAGATGAGTAGGGAAAAAATGTTAGTGGCCTCCATCTGTAAATACATTCTTGTTTTGGGGGTTGTCTCATTGTTGCCCATCTAGTGCACCTGTTGTTATATTCATTAACACCAAAGCAGCCAAAACTGATTAACAACCCCCTCTGCTACTTACCTGACCAGATCAATATCCCAGGAGTTTAATTGACTTGACCCTTCAGTAACAAAAGACCCCTCCCTCATAACAAAATATCCCACCCAACAAAAATAGACCCCCAGCAGAAATAGACCCTCCAGCACTCCCCAGCAACCCTTGTCATTTCATATATTCAATGCTAGAGGTGCAGGAACTGCGCTCCTGCTGAAAAAAATATCTGCATATATACGTACCTTATTATGTACTCTATGATGTCAGGGGGGAGGAGGTGCACGCTTTACGTCTGGAGGAAAAGAAAAGAGATTTAAATCTCCAAACACGGAAAGGTTTCTTCACAGTAAGAGCTGTGAGAATGTGGAATAGACTCCCTCCAGAGTTGGTTGTGGCCAGCTCAGTGGATTGCTGTAGGAAAGTCCTGGATTCTTTCTTGGATACACAGAATATAACTGGATATAACATTTATAGGTAAAGTTGATCCAGGGAATATCCGATTGCCTCTCGGGGGATCAGGAAGGAATTTTTCCCTGCAAGAACAAATTGGATCGTGCTTTGCTGGGTTTTTTTTGCTTTCCGCTGGATCAACTGGGTATAGAATTAAAACTTTTTTTTTTTAATGGTTGAACTAGATGGACTTTTGTCTTTTTTCTTCCAGACTAACTATGTAACTATATCACAGGAAGGGTATGGCTGGTGGGAGGCGCTGGCATGGTGCTGTACATAGTTTCCTGGAAAAAACACTGCACCCTGCCTCAGTACTCCTCCCAAGAGCCCTCAGCTGCCATGAAGCAAACAGTGGGTGGGCTCTTGGGAGGAGTTATGAAAATACTAAAATACCTTGATGGGTGGATGTCAACCTGGAGGAGATGGCATTCCTAGGCAGGCAACATTTGCATGCAGACTGCCCTAGGTAACTCCCACATGTATTACTTAGTTTCCACGATAGAAAGATCTGAAATTCAATGAATGAAAGGGGTGGGTCAAGAGATGCTGGATGTCCTCCAGCCAGGAAATGAGGTGGACCTCTATCTGACTGGCTGCAGCTTCTAATGCACATTGTGAGCAGCTCACAGTGTACAGTGAAATCAGAGTAAACCATTTCATTCCAGAAGAGGAGCCGGTACACCTGTGCAAGACTGAAGAGGAGGAGCCGGTACACCTGTGCAAGACTGAAGGGGAGGAGCCGGTACACCTGTGCAAGACTGAAGAGGAGGAGCCGGTACACCTGTGCAAGACTGAAGGGGAGGAGCCGGTACACCTGTGCAAGACTGAAGGGGAGGAGCGGTTACACCTGTGCAAGACTGAAGGGGAGGAGCTGGTACACTTTTGCAAGACTGAAGGGGAGGAGCCGGTACACCTGTGCAAGACTGAAGAGGAGCCGGTACACCTGTGCAAGACTGAAGGGGGAGGAGCCGGTACACCTGTGCAAGACTGAAGGAGAGGAGCGGTTACACCTGTGCAAGACTGAAGGGGAGGAGCCGGTACACCTGTGCAAGCCTGAAGGGGAGGAGCTGGTACACCTGTGCAAGACTGAAGGGAAGGCCAGAGGTCAGCTTTACTGTGAATCTGCATGATTATGCTGACAGACTCCCTTTAATGTTCGGCAAATTTAGGGTAAATCTTCTGCAGAAGATTGATGCCTCTGTTTCCGTATTTCCATTCCTGATATCAATGTGCATACTCTGCAGGAACCCTGAGAGACATTGAGCAGATGGAGCCAAAACAGCAAGAGAACGTTCTTCCAGGAGAACTCTGAGCTCCGACTTCAGGTGCCCAGCATCTCATTCTTCAGTTTGCGTCAGGGTGAGGAGAATGCAATTGTCCTGTTGTTTATTCATTCATTTACAGAAAACAGAACCGGATTTCTTCCCTTTGATTCTGCTCAATTCAAGCGTGAAATGTCAGCCGTGTCCGCATTTCACCTCCGATTTGTTTTGGACTTTCAAATTAACTTTTCTCTTTATTGTAAAACGTATTGAATTAACACGTACAGCTCCATGTAGAGTTCCATCGTAAAGCCTGGGTTCAAATGGCGTTCTTCCAGATGATAACTTTATCTACAAACACTCTTCGTTTGCTGGAAAATGGGAAACTCATCGGGAAATCATGGTACAGTCTGATTGTACAAGCAATGTCCTTTGGAATTACCACCAACTGTGTGAGATGAGAGTCTACTGATTCCTTCAAATGCATCCAAAGCTAAAACTTTGGTTTCCATTTTGAATAAAGAAGACACAAAGACACAATAGACACAATAGGAAATAAAACTAGCTTTCTCCAAAGTGAGGGAAATTACGCTTTTATGGTTACATATGCAACCGATGTCCACAATTATTTCCCTCACATCTAGTTTCGGTGGAACCTGTAAACTTGTGGACTTATCACTGTCTAACTAATAATAGTTACCAGGACAAATAGAAGGTGATTCTAGCCAATGGGGACACAGAAAGCAATAAAAACCTGAGAGAGGGTCTAATCCAACCAACTCAACTGGGGTTCCATGAAACCCTAGGGACCCTCCAGAAGTCGGTAGGTGTTCCTTGAGCTATGGCTGATGATACCTTCATCTTCTGGGATCAACACCACTTGGAAGAGTCAGCCACATGACAGCTTGATAGCTGTCTGTAAGGAGCATTCTTCCCATTGACCACCAATGTAAGGAACATTCTTCCCACTAATCACCAATGTAACAGGCATTCTTCTCACTGACCCCCAATGTAAGGAGCATTCTTCCCACTGACCACCAATGTAAGGAGCATTCTTCCCACTGACCACCATTGTAAGGAGCATTCTTCCCAATGACCTTCAATGTAAGGGGCATTCTTCCTACTTATCACTAATGTAAGAGACATTATTCCCACTGACCCCAAATGTAAGGAGCATTCTTCCCCCTGACCATCAACGCAAGGAGCATTCTTCCCCCTGACCATCAACGTGAGGGGCATTCTTCCCACTGACCCCCAATGTAAGGGACATTCTTCCCACTGACCACCAATGTAAGGGACATTCTTCCCACTGACCACCAATGTAAGGGGCATTCTTCCCACTGACCACCAATGTAGGGAACGTTCTTCCCAATGACCACCAATGTAAGGAGAATTTTCTAACTGATCCCCAATGTAAGGGGCCTTCTTCCCACTCACCACCAATGTAAAGGGCATTCTTCCCATTGACCACCAATGTAAGGGGCTTTTTTTCCTACTGACCACCAATGTAAGGGGCACGCCTGGCCAGTAAAGGTGCTGTAGCCCGTGCCACTAGACTACAAGAGCAGTTAACCCATGCAGTATATGAGCTCAACTTTAAGGAGGAAAGAAATGACTCCAGGTGAGCCTGCTCTCTGCCTGTGAATTGCTATACATGTCCTACCATTGGGATCTCAGAGAGTTTACAGTTACAGCCCAACTGCAAGGAAGGCATTCAGTTTCCTCAGAGTTTAATATATGCTGTATATATAGTATATTGCTGCTTTTAGAGTTCTGTAATCCCAACTCTAATTTAGTCTTTAATTGTAGGAGTTAAAAGTCCAGATTTTTGGTTTTCAGTTGCCATTCGTTCTGCAGAATTACTGATTTGCCAGTTCATATCTGTGGAAGTGGGGAGAGTCATTTGCTTTTCTTTTCTTTTTTAACGCTGAACCTTTAAGTAGAGTGTGGTATTAATAATGAATATTTTCATTTTCCGTCTTCTTTCAATATGATTACATGATGAATGAATAACTCACTTCTAGCTAAAGTTGCTTTCATGCCGTGGAAGTCTGTTATTTTTAGACACCGCAGGGAATTGGCCACAATGCTCGGCAATATCTCATCTTCTTTATCTACTTCTGAGTAACTTCATTTTACGAATAGCATTAGTTTTGGCGTTCTGCGGCGATTCTGGTTCAGCCTTTTTTTTCTGTACAAAGTAATTCTGTCATTAGAACAAAGTTATGAAGTAACATAAGAGGAGACAGAACACAATGTCTTCCCATTGCTTCCTTTCTTCTAAAATTGTCGCCTGGGAACTTTGGGGCCAGGAGGTCAATGGGCCAATAGGCATTAGATTGACTTGTAAATCTTTAATCTCCTGATGATCACCTTGGATAAATGCATAAATGGCCCTTTTAGTAAGCTTGGTACCTAGTTGGACTTTTTAACTTCTTTCCAACCATGTAATGCATGCAAGATGGGCTTTGTGGTTGGCTGAATTCGGCACCAAAGCACAAGTCCCTACCCCTTCTCCAGCTCTGCTAGAACACTGTCCCTCCTGCTGAGGCCGAACCCTCCGCCATCTTGTATTCTGCACGTTGCACTAATGCCTTCACTGGACATTCCCAGCACTGGACGTTCCCATGAACCTTTAAATCCCCAAGGAATGTCCACACAAGAAAAAAGACTGCACTGCACTTTACTGGTGGTGTTCAGGGAACGGCATTACAGTCACATCACAAGGACATACATTCTGGAGTTACTTAACATACACAGTCAATCACATTTAGTGGACGGTCAGCAGTAGTCACAAGTGAAAGCAATAATCAAATTATAACCGCGCTCCAAATTTATAAAAGTGCTATGTGCTTATAATAAAAAATAAAAATATAAGATAATCACCATTACTGAATTAATTGATATATCACTGTGCAAAATAAAATCACTAGTAAATCAGTGCACCTAGTGTTGATACATATAACATATATATATATATATATATATATATATATATATATATATATATATATATATGTGAAAATGCAAATAAATAATTATATATTATTAAGGAATAATCAATATTGAATCATAATGAAAGTTACAATTTCAAAAAGTGCTGAAATGTTCCAACCAAATTAGATGACACTCTCCTTCCAATGAATGGTATACTTCAATCTTGCAGCTTTGCAATCAGCCTGTATGCTTGTGAGGGATAATCCCTCCTTTGATCCACTCCTTGCTACAATCACTGAATGCTCCTCGCCAATATCATGTAAAAAAGAGAGAAGAAATAGTGCCTTATCCCAGAGATATGTTGAGCCATTTATTTGCTTCCATACTGCACTCACATTTAGTAAAACAACATAACGCTTTGCAATGTAAAAGAGCCACTGTCTGCGGTGAAGATCGGACTAGAGGGTGTGTACCCCACGCTGTCAGTGCTCGCCGTATCAGATGTGCGGTGACGTCACTGCCCCTCCCCAACACGTTGCGCCACAGGGACTGCGTAGCTTTGTCTGGGGGATGATCCTGGTGGCTCACAAGCACATTCATCTCACACAAGTGAAAGCATGTGCAGCATTTTAGCAGTCATCCCCCTTACAGTCTCTATTCTGCACAGGGTCATCAGTACTCACAGGACTGTGCTCGCTGTAGACACCTCTTTGCTTGGTACATCTCTCCTGGGAACCCTCCAGGGAAGCAGACTCACACAGGAATCTCCAGCCTGGCCTGAAAGGCCTTTTGCAATCTGCCCTAGCCCCCACCTCCATAAGGGACAGAAGGACTACAGCCGGCTCCTCATGTGTACAGGTCCACTCCACCCAGCCTCCTGCCCTGTCCAGGACCTAAGTGTCCTGGCTACATCCTCACAGGCTTGGGTCGTTTATCTCCCATGCCCCAAGTGTGTGTGTGTGCGTGCGTGCGTGCGTGCATGCGTGTGTGTGTGTGTTTCTGCCCATCTAGCTTATATGTGGGTGCTCACTCACCCCTGACACCACTGTGGGAGGGCTCTACCTAAAGGGGCCTAACACCTGGTGACACTATCTGCTGTACCAGACACTATCCTGGTACAGGGCCACCTAGTGGCAAAGCAGCTAACTGCACCTGCCTACATGCAGCAGCAAGAAAAGTAGGCTTTAACATCTAGCTGCCACACAATGCACCCATGCCTGCCCCTGAAGTTGTATGCCGAGAGCGTGCACACTGCGCACTTCCAGCACACTGACCAAGCTGTCATCAACAGCTGTCAGTCACAGCTTCTGATCAGAAGCCAGTGGGATTGGTTCCCAATCATTTGACTACTGTGAGAACCAGTCACTGCAGTCACATGATACAGAAGCCAGGCCACCTCCTGTACATGAACCGTTTGCTGCTGGAGCCATTTTTGCTTTTTTTTTTTTTTTTTTTTTTTGCACATTTAACCACCTCATTACTGTGCCTGATGGGACTGCAGTTCATTGCATTATCACAAGGTTCCAACAAGCTGGCCAACAGGCTGAAGTGATGCAGCAAAACCCATTACAGAAGACCATATAACAACAGCCTCTCGCTTTCTACTGTAGAAAACACACTAGGTGACTTACTGTACCTGGCAGCATCTGAAGAAGGAGGAGGCTGTAGAGCGGTGTGGCAGTAATAGTACCCAAGGCAGCAAAAGTTCAAACTGATGGACCAGGCTTTATGCCCCTACCAGGGGCGGACTGACAACTCATGGGGCCCCTGGGCAATAGGGGATCATGGGGCCCCTGTGTCTTTGCCCAAACTCAAAAAAGCTTATGAAAAAG